TTTTTTATCGGAAATTTCCTCCTCTTTAACGAGCTTTTTTCAAAATTGGTTAAATATTAATATCTTTTGAGTTATTAACGAAAAACTAAATACCAATTTTTTTTTAATCTTATTTTGTTAATAACAATTGCAATTTTTTACCTGCACCAAAATCCTTCAAAAACATTTTTCTAGAGGTGATTCCGAATGGAATGAGCTATCGCTCATATTTTTAGGACCTTTGTCTCTATTTTTCATGTTTTTGAACTTGTTGATTAGACTATCAATTCAAGAGCCACCGGTGACTCCGAAGTGTTGCAAAACTATTTCTCAACTTTATTCAACTTTATTATTAAAAAATCTGTTCTCCTTCAGTCTCATCTGGTTTTTTATGTTCAGACTTATAATAACTTATAAACTAATTGAAATGCGATAAAAAACTCATTAATTTTCTGTTAAAAGAACAAATTTAGCTTTAAATTCAAATTGTTACCTAATTATTTATTCCATTCATAGCATTCGTTATATTTTTTTTTCAATTTTCATGTTCAAATATCTTATAAACTAAAATAATTAGGACTATATCACTCTTATAACTATTTATCCGAGGTATATTTATCAATAATTTCAGCTAATCAATTCAAGTCTCATAATATTATTCTCTGAACAATTATTTATTACGTATGTGTAAAAATAATTGAAGTTGAAATTTTCTGGATTTGTCTCGATTATCTTGATAATAATGACCCGATAGTTTTTTTCGGAAAAGTAACAGATAATAGATTATTCCTAATGGTAATTCATTAATTAACTGACCATTTTATACACTGTCATCCTCATTATTATATTTAGAAGCTGTGGGGCTAAGAAATCGTTGAAATAAATAAATAAATAACAAGATTATGAACCAGCATCTGAAAAACGTTCTCAAAAAAAGAAAGTGATTAGAAATGGAATTAAAAAAAAAATCGATAAATTCAAACTATAATTAATAAAAACCCTCAATTGAAATAAACACAACTTCTAGTTCATTTTTAGTTTGTAACACACTCAGGCCAATAAACTTTTCTTGTTAACTTATATATTTGCTATATTTTTCAGCTGATTTTTTTTGTAGTAGTAAAACATTCACATATTTTGATCATTTACCACCATCTTTATTCAGAATAGTTTTAATAATTTTATGCTTACTGTTAGTAATATTTTATGTAGTCAAAATTACTATTTTTGCATTTTTTATAAATTCTGATAATTAGTTTTGATATTTTTCTTATTTTCTTTTCATAAATTGGTTGTCAGGATCTTCTTCAATTAAGCATACGTCATTTTTCTGTTTGTGTGACAAGCAACAAATGTTGTCAAACAATTCTCTTTCTACTGAGTCATTGTTTAGCTCCTATGAATGATTATGAGCTAGCATACTGAATGTCTGAAGTGAAAATTTCAAAAAAAGTGTAAGCCATACAAATGTATTAATTTAAATTTATATTTCAATTTTTTTATTTCATGTAATTAGGTCTTGTAGAATTATACAAAGCTCCTAAACCTTCATTTCGAAATATTTTGAAAATCAGTTTCACCATATTATCATTCAAATTGTTGACTTGTATTCTAGACTTTGCTACATCAACTGGGAAAGTTAATGTCCAAAACAAGATTCCTCCTACACTTCCAGCTATCATCGTCTTAATCAATCCAATTTCCTCTTTTTTTTCACCAGGATTTCTAAGTAACTCCCTTGTACCTGAATTTGAAGTCATAATTTTATCAATTTAGTTTTTTCCATCATAAACAATATAGACATAATAATACAAATATGACTGAGGACAACATATCAGTAAGGGAAACTGCTGTATTACTAATACATGACAACATTCACTTCGGCAGCTTTGATCCTCTGGAAAAAATTACTGTACTAATTAAGCAACATAAGAAATAGGTTCAAGTCTCTTTTCAAAAAAATCAAAGTTGTACATATTACATACTTATTTTCCTTATTCAAGAACCACTTTTTTGTGAGATATACACTGGACAGCGTTTCATGGAAACACTTGAGAAAGCTATTGTATAGGAAACACGTATCGTGGTTTTGTAAACTGCCCAGTGAAAATCTCACAATATATTCATCACATATATTTGGAATACTCATTTTATATAATACGATTTTTTTTTATAATAAATTTCAGTTCTAACATTTTCATAACTGCATTGAAAACACTTTTCCCACAACAGAACAAAAATACTGTCTCTTGACGCAGGTTTCACCAACTAAGACAGTCTTTGTCATCTGTTATCAAGACATTCATTTTGCACCAAAGGTTCCAAATTCAACAAATGTTTCAAGATATCTATAAACTCTCATATACTGATGAACTTGATATTTTAGTGAAATAAATTATATTTCATATTCTTTTTCGAATGATCATATTTGTTGAATAGTTGAAAAATTCACCATTCACAATAGAATCTCAAAAAATATTTTAAATCGTGTAAAGAAATATACCAGAAAGTGAAGATCAGATAATTCATATGAATGAAAATACATAGACCACAAATAAGGCAGTAAGGAATTGTAAAACCCCTTTCTTTCTCAGTCACTGGAACCAGTGCTCTTAGCCTTCCTCAATATATTATTATGTCTATGATAAACAGAGTTAAACATTTGAAGATTATAATGCTTACCTTCATAACCTCCAAAGAAAAAGAAATATCCAGGCATTTCTCTGACAAGGGTGGGAACTAGTCCCCTGAATAGTCCTCTTACTCCTTCAGTTTTAACTATATCTGTAGTTAATTTAATTGAACTAATCATTTCCTTTTTATTATTGCCTTGAACGCTTTGTGCATTTGTTTCCTTCATGGCTTGTAGCTTACACTTTATCAATTCAGTAGGGCAAATAGCCACAGATGAAAAAAATGAAGCTGTAAATCCTGCGAATGCATTGCTAGTAATACTCAGATCATCTATATTTTCTGTTCTTGAGATGTTTTGGATCATTTTTTGGCAAAATCCATAGCACAAAAATAAAACAGAATTTTCAGCAACATTTGTTACCAGTGCAGGAACTGTACCAGCATACAGTCCTTGATAAATCCCATCTGTCTTTAATGTTTTCATAAAACAATCAAACATGTTTTTATACACATGAGGAAAAGTCTGCATTTTCACTTTTACAGTATCGAGTGGTTGTCCTACATAAACAAGTGCAATGCCTCCTGTGAAAATTAAAATATACAATTTATTTATTTATATATTTGTTGAGGAATGCTACCTAATAGTATTATATTTTAAACTGCTTATTTTTGCCATGTAATGTATATAAACATAAATGGACCCATTAATTTGCCCTTCTAGAAGTGCAACTCCTAAAATTTTTAAACATATTTTCAGATTGGAGTTTGTAGTTTCGCCAACTTTGAAAAACTGACAATTTCAAGTGAGTCTTTCAATGGTCAGGTTCCTTTGTTTTTATTGATTTTTAGAACTGTTGATGTTCATAAATTTTGAATAGGTTTCTCAACTTTTGTTGGCATTATCAGAAATACAATACTGTAAAAAGCATGTATTTTGTAGTTTCTTAATGTTTCACCGACAAAGACAAATAGTGTTTACCAACAAAGGCAAAACGTTTTTTTTATAACTGTACTGAAATCAACATTATAGAAATATGTATCCTTTCCTTAGATACGGAATTATTATATGAGATGGAAATACTAACTTGGAATGCAATTTTATTGTGTAAAAACGTATTAATTTATTTTGATTAATATAATTTTTATTTTCAGCTATTCATTTTCAATTCTTCTTTTTTAGTTGTTTCAGGGATTTCAAATCATTTTATATAGTAGACAATGGAAGTCCGAACTAGTGAAATTAATATGTCCTCTACTGCTACGATCGATACTATTCAGAATTCCTGACCAAACTACACGTAATTGTGATGTCTTTGCTGTTCCATATCACACAATAAATTACAAATATCATAGCTCAATCTCTCGCATGCTAAGATTTGGTAATGATTTTATTAATATAAAACCTGTCTCAATTACTGGTGTTTCGTTATCATCATTCAGTAATTCTCTCAACAAACTGTTTTGGTAACATGATGCTCCGTTTCTGTATTCATTTACTATACTCATGTTTAATATAATTTTTGTCGCTACACAATCGCTGTTTGGTAAAATAATTTCTGACATGTTGTTTGTCATATGAACTTTCATGCACTCTGATTAAAAAGGAGGTTACCCGTGTATGTATGTAATTCACTAGACACAATTCCAGTAGCATTCTCATTCAGAATTCAGAAGTAGTGTGAGCTGTGAAAGTGCACTTTAATATGTATACAGGGTACAGCGTGATGACCGTCGGTTTTGGGAAATATCCTAAAAATTGGCAAGCACAGGTTTTCTGAAATGCTTTATCGAATGAAAATACAGGCGTTTTTCCAACACTTCCAGCTATACCTGAAGTTGGTACCAACTTCCTTAATTCAAATATAACACCTTGTATATTTTCTCATCTTTAGATACCTGACAAAATTCTAACGTTAGTTTATGCAATACACTCTATTCCAAAAATGAACTGTTCTCGAGATTCATTTATTTACACAAAAAAAACTGGGAGTTGTTTCCGGACTTTGTCTGCAGGTGGCGCAGTCTGCAAGTTATTTCCCACTATGAAAAGCTGAAATTAATTTCATTTGGTCAATACAACCAACCGATAGATCGGTTTCGGGGTACTTGCCCCATCATCAGTACAGGCCATGGTCTCTTCAGAAAGGAGTGAACTGTCTGAGGAGGCGCAGTGGACATGCCACTGCAGCGAGAGTTCATGACTAGTTGTCTATCGGTTGGTCGTATAGGCCAAATGAAATCAATTTCTGCTTTTTATATTGGGAAATAACGAATCTTCCAAATGGAAGACGTTGCACAGGTGCCTGATGGTTTTACTTCGGCTTTCTATGCGGCATTAGCTGGGTTAGTTGTTGTTTTTCTGTTGGGTATCTGCCACACGTACCTACAATTTTCATGAACTTCATGAAATTCATCAAGTTCTACACATGATTGAAGTGTTGATAGATTACTATCTTTAGTATTTTGAAAGATGATAGTCTTTCTATTTAAACTTTCTCGAACCAGGAAATCGTTCGTTGTCTGCAACACAGATATCTCAGAGATATATTTCTGACATCTTTTACATGTCTTAATATGTCAAGACATTTGAAGAGTATCTCAAAGATACCTTTTTTTAGATATCGTTGAGATATCTTTAAAAGACATTTCAAAAATATCTTTTTTGTTCTGTATATTTTTAATCCACTATGTTAAACTATGTGCAGCATATAACAGAGTTATAAGAGAAAAATTTATACATTTCCTTTCTAATATTACATAAATATACACTTGAACCTAATACATGTGGCCTCATCACATCCGGGTAGGATATATCAAAGGCATTCGGTTCATGCTCATTATGGATTATTTGCATTAATTTCAGTTAGTCATGTCTTGTGTTAAATGGTCGTGTAGTTATTGTCTACGCTTCTGTGCTGTTGTAAAGTTTCTTGTAGCTGCCAATGAAAATGTTCAAAGTATCATTGTTTTTCAAAAGTGAAAACAAAAAATAGCATGTTCAAAATTTTCATTTTTTCCAGAATCTGTAACAGAAACCACTAATTGCAGAAAAAAGGAAAGTAAGTTGATTCAGTTATGATTACAAAAAGTTTCTGAGGGACAAAAGCATAATGCAAATCAGTCTTTTTGATGTTACAAATAATTTTTTCCTGTGAAATTCATGGAGGAGAGGTCTCAAATATAGCAGTTAAAAACACCTTTGAAATTATTTAAAAGGTATCTTACATATGTCATTCAAAGATGTCTTTAATTGTAACAAAATATATCTTCAAGTTGTCTTCAAATTATGTTTTCAATAAAGGGGACATTCTTAAGATATCTGTTGCATCGTTGCATCTTAAAGGGTACATCTTTGATATATCTTTAGGGCATCTTTCTGGTATATGGGATATTATCTTTTCAATTTTGTAATGCACTGAAATAACTCAGAGATCTAAATAAAGTTATTCAATACAAAAGTTAAAGTAAAGACAATATTTGTAAAGTATTTATAACAGCTAACAAACTACTCAATTAGTGATCATTTTTACCATACACTCAGAGGCACAGGTTTTATACAAATTAACACATGTATATGTGCATCTTTGGTAACTTGAATAAAACTTACCCAAAGATCCTGCTGTAAAATCGATAACCCCATCTTTTAAAAGTTTAGAATCTCGGTTTTCACTCATATTTTCTATGATAACGAGTCAATTTTTTTTGGAAACGACAAATTTCGTTCAAACTGGATCGAGTTTCAAAACCTAAGAAAATCTCATGGAAATAAATTGAGAACGTATGTCATAGAAATGAGATAAGTAAGCATACGCTTCACATGAGTTGTGTAACTTTTGTAATTCAGGACTTATTGACCTTTCAAACAAATCTATGGAGTAATAGATTTTTGTGATAATACACATTATTTGAATTGAATCAAAGGAAACAAATCCGGTGCAACCTTGCTTCCACCAATAGAATTATCAACTGAAATTAGCTTTCTCTCTCCTTTTTTGTATAACCGTTGCTTCCCTCTCGGGTGCATTTGTCCAATTTCCTCCTGTCAACAGTTGACAAACGTTTTCGTGGGGGGCGCAGCAGTCTTGCTTGTATGCAAAGCCAAGTGAAAATGTGACTATGCAAAAAGATTCCATGCGATTAAACGTAAAAGCCGAGAATACCTACCACAGAGAAGCGACAAAGACGGCCATTTTGTGTCCCTTTTTCGTAGACGCATGCGTCGACTTGGTTGTCTCCACGTCATTCTCGGGCTTATAGTAAAACCAATAATGATTGAGAGTAAAGCGCGTTGTCATATCTAAATTTTACGTTACCAGTTTATAGCAGAATCAAAATATAGTAAGCAGTAGAGTTGTAGGTTGTGGCAAATTATAGATAATACACAATACTAGTACGATTAAAAGGTATTATTTATGACAAAAATCAGTAATGAGCTTGTAATGAGTAATACTTATACATTTCCTGATTATACTGATCAGCTGAAATTAATTATTTTCTATATAGTGTTAGATATTTATTACAACTAGTGGCAACGCTGTACGCAACGATATTTCTGTCTTTGTCACTTTACCGTAACTTCCATCTCATCGTTGCAGTCCTCACTAATGTACTTGCAGCCATGAGCGTATCATTGGTTTGTGAATTATACAGCGTGAATTGTACGTTTTACAGTTAAGTTAGTCAGCAATCGACGTGTTGTGATAACAATTGGTGAAAATAATAGTGCTAATAAGTGTTTGAGCGTTACATAATTATATTTCTACACCGTTCTCAAAATACTCAAAAAATGGGAGACATGGTCGGGCTTTCCACGTCGAAAAAGGTAAAACGGTCGGAGTCTCGGTCAGTAAGAGAAAAACAAATTGTACTGCGAGTATTTCACTGTCTTGAAAGAGATCATCAGCCACCAAAAGATGACTTTGTGCATATGTGCTGTAATTCTACTTGTGTACCTCCGAATAACCAACCGGGCATTTCTACATCATTAAGTTGCACAATTACAAAAGATAAATTAGTTGATATGTGCTCTGATTATACCGGTGTACCAAAATCATCGATTTACAAAATACTAAGGGAAGCAGAAATTCATGGGGATGTACAAACGCCAAAAACTAGTAGCGAACGAAAAAAAATAACAGTTGATGAGGAAGCCAAAACCAGTATACGAAAAACTATTTACAGTTTCTTTTTCAGAAATGAGCTGCCCACACTACAAACAGTTCTGGTGGCACTTGGCGATCATAAATTGGTCCCAAAAATGGGTAAAGAAACGTTTAGGAAACTTGTACACGAAATGAAATTTACGTACGGAAAA